CAGGGAAGAGATACCAATAAGACGAGACGATGACTCGTGACAAATACGAGAAACGGGATCGAATGAGACCTCGATTGCTGAACGAGGTTATTTTTATAGGGTGGAGATTCCATTAGCGTCGGGATGCGCACTATCTTCGTAGCGGATTTTCGCTAGACTTTACCAACGGTTATCGGGGCTTCGGGGTCACCGTGGTTGGCTAGTGCGACTCTCGGAAAGCTTTAGCCTCGGGAAAAAAATACTTCAGCGGGGATATCAAAACCTGCAATCTGGGAACTGATTGCGAGAAATATTTTGTTTTCCTTTTACTTTTCTTGTTTCTATTTTTTATAAGTTTTCTTACGTAAAGTGTTTGTTTTAAAATTTTTCCCATTTTTCCAAAGTGAAGAAGAGAGGATGGAGGGGAGAGGAGTTAGGTTCTCCTTCACTGCACATAATTATTAATATTTCTATTACAGCTCACAGTGACCACAAATTTTTCTTAACGAATGTTTTATGCAGCTTCTTTTGCCGTACTATACTCCTCTGGAACTGGTCTATGCGGCTTTCACTGACGAAGCTAAGTATTATTGCTCTCGGGGTATCGACATTATGCGAGGCAAGGATCAGGAGACCAAAAAGCAGTTGGAAGTTGTCCTGCGAGCCGTTGAATTAGATGGAAAGTGCGTATATTTTTTATGTTCAGTCACTTTAGTGCAGAAAGCTGGAAAAAAGAAAGTGATTTCTTTCAGAGTGGATAAATTGTACGCAAACAGCCAGCTCCAAATTGAGGGTCGACCGCACTGCTGGCACAAAGTGTTATTTAAAATTGTTGAGGAACGAGTGCAACAACGGGTGGAGGCCTTCCAGATAGAAGACAGAAAGTTAAACAAAAACTGGGTCACAAGGTTCCTTTTTTTTCGCACGAGATCACGAAATGCTTGAGTGAAATCCCAGTATGCTTGCACATCTCTTTCTGCCTCTCCAGTAGCAGTTGTCTGGTTTATTTTTGCCATTCCATTAAAGATTCATGGAACAGCTGAAGTATGAAGTTTCCTTTCGGCTGGTTCTGCCTCGCGTTGAGTTTTTTTTCTGAAGCAAGATTTTCAAATAAGCGAGCATCAGAGATATTCTATTGTGTGCCACCTGAGATATTTTGTTATTTTCTCGTTATTTTTGGTAATAAAAATTATTGATAATAAAAAAAGTATGCTTTATACGCTTTTTTGCTGTTTGCAGGAATTTGGAAATATGTCGTCTGTACATAGTGGAAGACCTGTACGCAGCTAAACACTTTCTACGTATTTTCCCTAAAGAGCATCAACTTTACAATAATTTCGTGGTTTTTTATCACAACGGAATCAGGAATAAGGCTTGAGTTTTCCATTCATCTATTTCATTCTGAATGTGTTAGACAGTTATCCATGTCCTGAACAATATATGAGCGATTTGATTTGCAGATCACCGAAATTGCGAGAGGCGAGTTGAACAAACGTGAATTGGTGCAGCTTCTCAGTTGGATTAGGCTCTATCCGTAGGGTCTTTTACAAATATTCTTTGGTTTGGCCGAGTACACCGGTAATAAGAGTAAATAACATTGCAGAGAAGAGCATATGTTAGGCATGGCATTTCTGGAAATCGACGCTCAGGCCCTTGTCCAGGACAAACCACTGATAGAACGCAGTGAACTCATACAGCTTTTTGAAAAGTGAGCTTTTTTAATAAATTTCCGCCAATAAGACTTCCTGATTTTTTTTAAAGTTTTTAGTTTTTAAAATGTCCGGATCAAAAGCAACTTCATTACAAAAGAGCATGCTGAAAGCATCGCTTCTTACAATTTCCGACATATACGAGCCACAAAATGTGAAAAAGTGCCAAAAGTCAATACTCCGGATACAGTCGAACATGCTTCGAAAAGTAATTTTAGCTTGACCACTGCACTGCCGAAGTAATCTCGCTTACATAAAGCAACTCCTCAACGAAATTTATGCACTAGTTGTTGGCATCGATGTGAGCCAGAAGATGTTGCGTAACGAGTTTTAAACCATCTCTTTGCCTTGTTGATGTCTTCTAGGCTTTCTCTTCTTTAAAATTTGCCCTTACTCTTGCTTTATTATGTGTTTTTGCGTTTCTGTGCTTTTTTGCTGTGCAACGCTATAGTCAGCGCTATAGCAAAAAAGCCCTATAACGCTACTACAGCGAGCAATGACTTATATTGTCCAGAAGACGCCTATGTGTGTGCGTTCGAAAGCGAGTGAACTTCGTCACTCACTTTTATCTCAGCAACCAGGAAAGG